GGGAACCGTTACAGATTGCTGTAAATAACAAGCAAATATCTCAAATTATCAATTAATAAATGCCTCAACATCTTCCAGCTGATGTAGGAAGATATCTATCTGTCCTTATATTTTGCATATACAAGGAATATAATGAGGTGGTTCTTAGGTTCCTTCTTTTTTTTAAGCCAAATGGTGGTTTTCTTCTTGTTGGGGTTGGAAGACTCTAAGCTATATTTCCTCAGAAGCAACCATAAAAATATACATACCAAAAACATCAACCTGCACCTGTAAAACCTCCAATTTTGTTCTTAAGTTGTGGAGGAATAAACTCATATCAGACTGAGACAGATACTTTCTTTGCAATTATCCTGTGGTTTTTTTTGGCCAACCAGTATGAGTGTCATTAACCTGAATAAAACTCATTGTTTAGTTTACCTGTCCATATGATGTCGTCCTGAGGCATGAGAGTAATTTCATAGGTTAGTAAACCTTAAAAACCAGATGCTAATAATTCAGATAAAGTTGCAAATCAAACCCCAAATCCAATCCTGAGCTTAACATGTCCTATAATGTAGAAATCTTGAGTGGCATTTGCTGAGTCAAATTGGTGCGTGATGCTCTACACAAACAATTGTCTCTTTGAAGCAAATGGAAAGGAAGAAAAGAAAACCCAACCAAAGGAAATCAATATCATATACTGGTCTTATGCAAATCTAAATGGGCACGCTAAAGTAACAAAACTATGCACCACACAGAAAATAACATCCAAGATGCTTGCTCTACGCTGAAGTAAACTTCCTTGCTAATATAGCAAACTAGATTTCCTAGACAAGCGCTAAGATTTCTATTTATTATAATCAAGGTTAGTGATTACAACGCTTCCTAAACAATGACTTGCATCAAACATAATACAAAGAATCAGGCTAAGGTATAATGCATATAGCAGTGCACACGAAACTATAAAAAATTGGAAAACATCCCCAATGAGGCTAGACAAGAATTGCAGAAGACTAAGGCATCCTTTTTCATATATTGGACTCTAATAGCAGTCGAATTAATTGAACCTTCTCGTCTAAATGCTAATCTTACCTGGAGATTCCAAAGTGTCCTAAAAAAAAATGGTAGCTGTAGCATTGGTGGTGATTGAAGTTTGAACTTTTAGCATGACTAAAGGAATTCTTGGCCTCATTCTTTTCCATCAGCAGCCTGAAGAAAGCCCAATCGAACAGGTGCTTTTGTTCCAACAACTTTTTATAATCCATAAACTGACAAGTCAACACCTTGAGCCTTCTCTTTCTTAATCTGTTCCTTGATCCAAAAGTATGTGACCCTAAGCCCATCCTGTATGGTTGAGATAGAAAATTAAAGAGGTGACCGAGTCAGCGCTTACAAGCTGAATTGAACAAAGAGGAAAACCAGATGTTTATCTTATATTACCTTCAATTTCATGGTAGGGGTCCAACCAAGTTTCCCCTTGATCAAACTGTTACAGAGTTTAGACCACGGACACGCTCTGGACCAGGAATTTGATGAATTGAGAGTTTCTTGTTTTCAAAACTGAGGACAATCTCAGCCATCTCATTCATGCTCACCATCTCATCACTGCCGATATTCACTGGTTCACGAAAGTCTGACTTTGTCAACCCGGAAGTTGTAAAGAGTTAATGTTATTACCTTCATTCAGATGCTAAATTTTTTGATAGAATTCAGCAGCAAAACAATCAAGCAGAAGAAAAAGTGAAAAACTATCTCAAATAAAGTATTGTGGCACATTAAGATTATCACAGCAAGAAATACATTGTGTCTCCAATTTTGATGACAGATGATAGAAAATTTTATTCAACAGATACCACATCTTTTGGTGAAGGTCAAATGCAGTGTAAGTTCAAGCTGATAGTTTTAGCCTTTTAGGAATAATTGTTTTAGTTTAGATCACTAGGGCAAGTCAAGGAAACTCTTGACACCATATAGTCACAAAAGAGAGAAGTGAATGGAAGGAGTGCCCGCATCTACCCTTTTTTGAAATTGAGATTTATAGTATCTATATGCACCTAACCTTGTCTTCCTGTTCAAAAGAAAGTCTTAAGGAGATCAACTCCTATTGGAATTTGAGTTCTAAAATCCCTGCAATGCACATAGCCTCATCTCGTCTTGAAACAGTTTCAAGCAGATCTGCATGCTTTAGTAACACCCTCTCATCTCATTCTACATATCAGTTACTGTAATTGTGTTGCAATGCCACAATAACATATGCATCATGAGTGGAATTAGTGCAATAATTTTTCCCTATGTTACTGACAAAACGGACAATGTAAAAAGCCTAGGAAAAGGGTTAGGAAGTTGGTACCTCAGCACGCCCTCTACACATTCATCAATGAAAGTGAAAGACTGGGTTTGCAGGCCATCTCTCCACATCTCAAATTTGTCTGTGGATATAATGGCCTTCCTACAGAATGCAGCAGGGGCTTTCTGTCTACCTCCTATAGGAATCATAAATATGAAAATACAAGCAAACAAGTAACACATTTACACACACAAACACGATAGAAAATAAATTACATCCATGATTATGTACAAAGAATAGTATCTTACCTTTCCAATTGCCAAATGGTTCATATATGTTATGGAAGCGCCCAATACGGTATTCAGTTCCAAAGTCCTTGGTATAATATAACACTTTAGTTGCAAGTTTCTCCAAGCCAAAAGCATCTTGAGGCTAAAATACATGCATGCATGAAATAATGAATAGAGAAGAAGAGGTGGATTTCTTTTTGGTATGGGAAGGAACTTAGCTAAATTTAGTATACATAAAAGAACCAAATGACTTTCACTTCACTAGGTAGGACTGTAGGAGGATCGAACCTCAGTATACATAAAAACATGAAATTAACGGAGTCCATATCAAGAATTCTTATAGGTACAACATTAACTAAGGGCAAGTCAACAAGAATTAGAAGGTAAACAATGATCCTTGAGGTGTCTTTGTAAAAGGAATAGATTCTGCAAGTGGGTGCTTAGATGAATCGAAAACAAGTAAAACCAGTTCTGTGTTGAACTAAAGTGATTAGAACAGTATATGATTAAGAATTGAGAAATGGAAGCAATATGAGAAGACTTTTTAACACAAGGTTCAAATAATAAGAACATCTATAACAGACAGGGGGCTTGTTTGCTGGAGCTTCTTGAAGTTTTTTTTTTTTTTTTTTTTTTTTTTTTTTTGTACTGTTTATGAATGATAAGTTTAAATTTTGATTGGAAAGAAAATTTTAAAGTTGCTTTTAGAAATAAAAAAAAGTGAGTAAGAAGTGAATAAAAAAAAGTTTATAAAAAGTAAAAGTTTGAAACTTTTCAAAATTTACTATTTTAAATCTTTAAAAAAATTAAAAAAAAGCTAAAATTGTAAGTTTTTAAAAGAAAATTTTAAATTCATGAAATATAAATAGTATTAAAAAGTTAAAACACTTATAAGTTTCACCAAATATGCTCGTGTCCAAACAAGTGGTGTGAGATCACTGTGCTCAAGGCATAAGATAGTTAACAGCATACTACCATTATGTTGAAAAGATTACAAGTAAGCTATCACTAACAGTAACTAGTGGTGCAAGAAATGCCTTGGCAAAATTCATTTGGAGAAGAAAAATAAAAAAATTCATTTGGACCACTAAATGGGCCAAAACAGGCCCAAACTTTCGTCATCAAGCCCATTATGAGACTCTGACATCGCGGCACTCGGGGTAGTAAATCCGGGTCCATAATCTCCTGCCCTAAATTAACGCTCTTGCAAATTCACCGGAGCCGAACTCCCGAGACTCCGAACAATGCAGAAGAGAGAGCAGGGCAAATCCGGTGGCATCGCCGGAGGCGCCACCCCGACGCCTGCCAAGCGTGGCCGACCCTTTGGCAGCACAGCAAGCAGTGCAGCCTCAGCATCGGCAGCCGATTCAGTAGCTCCGGCGACTCTCTTAGGCCCGTCCCTCCAAGTTCACAGCTCCTTCTTCGCTGGTAACTTTCTCAAAACCCTCATCTCCCATTTACTTAAATTCTCAGAAAAACCTCAAAGATTAACGAATATTTCGTTTTTCAATCGAGTTTTTGAAGTGAAATTTAGCTACGTTGTTCGAGGATTTAGAAATTAGGTTTTGGATTCTACCATTGATTTGTAGTAATGGTTGGTGGAATTTTTAACTAGTGAGATTCTACATATCATCTTAGGTTGCAATTGTGTTTATGTACTGGTGTGTTGCTATATCCAGATCAAAATAATAAAAGGATAGTTCTGGCACTTCAAAGTGGATTGAAGAGTGAACTGATATGGGCCTTGAACACTCTCACCTTGCTTTCTTTCAAAGAGAAGGATGATATGCGCAAAGATTCCTGTCTCGCGAAAATTGCTGGCTTGCTTGATGCCCTTCTTCAAATTGTATGTCAATTTATGCCTTTGGTGTCTTTAGTCCTTGCGTTTAATTCTGTTAGCTTTATGTTTTTGGAAGATAATTAAGATGTTTGTATAACGGAGCAGATAGACGACTGGCGTGTGATAGCACTTCCGAAGGAACTCAGGAAGGGAACAAGGGCCAGAACATTAGGTGCAAATACGCATGTAACGGGATTTGGGATGGAGTATGAGGCCTTAGGCTCAAATAGTGTTCTCCCACAGTCTGGGTAGGCTGAGATAAATTGTTGTCTTGTTATTTGGCTATATGAACAGCTATGAAATGCAGAAATTTGATTTAATGTTTGGGACCTGATTACCTGAATGTGGATAATTTGGCATGACAGATTGGGGTCTGGTTCTTCTGGAACAGATACATCGGCACAGAAGAATATGACCAAATTACGTTCTTCAGAGTGGTGGTTCGATGAGGATGGTCTCTTTAATCTGGATGATGAGGGGCGGGCTGAAAAACAGCAGTGTGCTGTTGCTGCTTCTAATATAATTCGTAACTTCTCTTTCATGCCAGAAAATGAAATTGTTATGGCCCAGCATCGACATTGCTTGGAAACCATGTTCCAGTGTATAGAAGATCACCTTACAGGTGAGACTGTTTCCATCTTCTCTCTTCCTAAGTGCACTCTTATAATCTTATGCTTATCTGCTGCTCACTGGCAATAAGTTTTTCTCTGACGTAATGCGGAACTATCATGTTGGAAGTAGAATTACCCCCTTTGTGTCAGTCTTATCACATATTTCTAGGTTCTTAACACATACACACATTAGCATGCATGCTACACCCATAAATACACACACTTATACTGAGGAAACTAAAATTTGCAGAGGCAGTTCTGAGTTTGGAATTTGGTTCAGTTTGAATTGAGGAGAACTTTTCAAGAGGAACTAGATTCCTTCTGCTGATTTTTTTGTTGCTTCAATTTATTTCCTATGAGCTTTTAATTATGAGTGCTGAACAGCATCTATAATTATCCTTATTTCTTGTACAACTAATTTTTCTTTATATAATAATGCAAGACTGCCTCTAAACTTTCCTATTCTGACAGAGGACGAGGAACTAGTCACAAATGCTCTTGAGACAATTGTAAATTTGGCACCATTGTTTGATCTTCGAATTTTTAGCTCGGCAAAGCCATCATACATTAAGATAACGTGAGAAACCTGATCTCCTTTCCTGCGTTGGTCCATGCTTCTTTCTAATTTCTGATTTGATAAGTGCATCAATGATTTTTACTAAACAGTGAAAAACGTGCGGTGCAAGCCATTGTGGGGATGCTGGGATCTCCAGTTAAAGTCTGGCATTGTGGAGCTGCTGAATTTCTTGGGCGTATGATTATAAATCCTGATAATGAACCTTTGCTCCTTCCATTTGTACCACAGGTGGATGTTATTTTGTTGTTATTCTTGTGTGACAATTTGTTGTATCATGTTAGTAATCTTGATGATTACTCAATTTTAATCTGCAGATATACAAGCAATTGGTAGATCTTTTGAGCTTGCAGACATATGAAGCACAAGCAGCAGCCATTGGCGCACTTTATAATCTTGTTGATGTTAACATGGATTGCAGATTGAAGCTTGCTAGCGAGAGATGGTGATTTCATCTTTTTTGTTTTCTAATAAATTATGGATGATGCTAAAAAAAAGGCCAAAGATTGTTATTATTAGAATTTGTAGTTTATATAATGACTGCTTTTGTACAATCTGGAAAATCCAGGGCAATTGATCGTCTACTGAAAGTGATCAAGGCGCCACATCCGCTGCCAGAAGTTTGCAGGAAAGCGGCAATGATATTGGAGCACCTTGCATCCGATCCACAGAATAGGACCTCGCTGCTGGCTTATGAAAATGCATTTGCAGAATTACTCTTCTCAGATGGGAGACATTCCGATACATTTGCCAGGATTTTATACGAACTGACTTCTAAACCAAACAACAAAATGGCAGCAGCTCGTGGTATCTGGGGCATGTAATCAAAACGGTATGCATCATTGCTCTTGTCCAAGCTCCGAACATGGAGAATGTTGTATTCAGAAATCAGGAACACAAAACTGTATCATCAGTTGTACATACTAGCTGATTTCAGATTTGACTCCTTAACATTGAAAATTGTTCTAATTTTGTGTTTCTTATTCAAGTTTGGCTTGTTTTCTTTGTTTCATTCGCATGAAAACAATAGCAAAAGAAAACAACATAAAAAAATACTCCTATAAGCTTATCTATGTCTCTATTAAATATTGAGCATTATTAAATGCTGCTTTGTATATTGATTCTTGCGTGTCCAAGTGAATGAAACTTTTTGTCACATAAAAGACTAGTGATTGAATTCTAGAGCTGGTTCAAGTGAATGAAATTTGTGGTTTGTATTGGTAGCTGAAAATTAGTAAATAGTGGTTTTATATAATTTAATGATTGATAATAATAATTATTATTATTAATTCAAAATTTTTTATTTATAGATTAGATAAGATTAATAATTGATAGTTTCAAACTGCTACAGTAGACATTTCCTTTATTATTAATTTGTATGAAAATTTTATTAGTTTGTATGCCATCTAGGACATGCATTTTTTTTTAATTTGTGACATGTAACATGGAAGAATAGTCTAAAGAAAACACATGATAAATCATTTTGGCAATATAAAGCACAATACTAAACA